TACATACAGTAATGTTTATGTTCCTAAATTAATATCGTTTATGACCTTCAGATGCGTTATGCTCCTCTTCTTTTTATGCTCAGCTACTAAAATTTCCCTTTAGTGGTAAAATTCCATATTAATATTCAAAACTAAATGGATTAAAATGTGCACACTGAAGACATTAAATTATTAAATCTTTTCACTACCAACCAATGCACCACGAGTGCCCCTGTCGGTCATTTTGGCCAGCCAATCACTTACCGTGGGGCACCGTAGGGCATGTGGGTAGTTTACCGTACCGTGGGTTGGTACTGCGCATTTTGAATGGCTGCATCTGTAGGTTTCAGTATATTATAAAAAGCAACAGCCTTATAACAATTATTTAAACGAACAGTATAATGATATATTATGAATGTGTGTCCCATTTACCCGGAAACAAAATAATTCCCACTGAGGCAGTGTATTTTAACTGTAATCATTTCATCCTCTTCTGCATTCTAATATAGATAATACAAAGGTCCATAATCATCATAAGCTTCTTGTTTCATTTGAGTTATTTTACTTACCTGTGTGAAATGTTTATTTGAATCACCTTACCCCTTTCCCAGAAATGAATCAGATTATTCTGGCTAGCCAACTGGACTGCATATGATATAGACAGGACTTGGAAACACCTGTACAAAAAGAAATGCAAAACTTTTATTGATAAAATGGCTGACATCTGGCTGGTTCTGTATTTAGTTTAGGTAACATGAAAGTTTACATTAGATTTAGATTAACTTTTTTTTTTACAAATTACCCAACTTTAATGATATTATTTCTTTTTTATAATTCTTTAACAAAAGGCTTCTCATTCAGCAGCTACATTCATATCTAAAAAACACAATTACAATTTTTTTTTGTCTTTTATGTGATTTTTTTTGAACTATGCAAATTGTGTATGTCCAGTAGGTACAATGGTATTAGAGATCACAGGCTTTCATTTAAGTACATTGTGTGTTGTTTGAAGAAGTGAAAGAAAAATTACGTTTCCATCATTGAGCAAGTTTAGTCTAAAAATGTACAGAGAAATGCTTCAGAGGTTATGGAAATGTTGCAGTTTCTGGAGCAAAAATGCTAAGAGTGGTTTATTGTGTCAGATAGAATATTTCCCTTGTTTTACATTATATAAGTGCCATTATATAATTGCAAAGAATCTAAAAATTTCAAATCTCAAAGCGTCTGCCAAGGCGATCTAAGATTTACCGAAATCATTCAATGTAGACCTAAACTATGCTGGAGTTATGTTTACATCCTTTTCTGCTAATGGACTATATTCAATCTGCTCTTTTTTCACCTTTGTGTCAAACTGTAACACAATGAAATCTTGGAACACCATGCATCTACAATTCTATTCCAGAAGCAATTAAATTTTGACCTGAAATCCCAAATTCCATCTTAAAAAGATCTGAGATTCACTTTTTAATTTTGAAATGTACAGCATGATAAAAATGTTCCAGGCTCACAGCTGTTCACAAATTATGGGTTTTGTGGGACTTTTAACATTTTCTATTACATTGAGGCTTATTATTCTTTAAACAAACAGTGAGCAAAATAATAATACAGGTAAGTTCAATGTAGACTTATAGCATCAATATAATCCATTTCAAATTACTTCAAATTATAAAAGAACATCACTAACTTTCTAGAAGATATCTGGTCAAAGAAAATGTGTATAAAATGCAGAACACCATCCAGTTTCAAAAAATAGAGTTTAATGTTTATGTGCTGTATAACAAATTAAATATATTAGTGTTTACAAAACAACTGCTAACAAATATTTCACTCACAGCAGTGATAACAGAAATAAAGTTTACATACAATGAACAGTTTGATCCCACATTTAAAGTGTAATGTTGTTTCTTTTCATACATACAGCACAGGGCATGTGTGCTAGTGGAAAAAATACAAAGCAGGGACAACAGAAACTTGCAATATTGTAAATCACAAAACTACAATTGAGGGCACAATTACTGACAGAGTATGGGTAGGCTATAAATAAAACTGCAACAAAATTCATTGGTGATTGCATATATATTGCATTGATTGTGGTGTACCAAAACACTGAAATTATTTCATTAAGGTCATTACACTCACAAGAGGAATTTCAAAGCTTTTTGGTCTAGTCCCCTCATTTGCTAGATGCAAACCATATTTTCTGTTGGTGATGGAGTAAAGCTGATCTAATGAAATGTTCCCTTTTGATGTCTCCTTTGCATCTGGCAGGAATATTACATTTAATGTCATAATAACTTCAGGAAATTAATTTTAAATGTTTCTAGCAAAACAAAAACTTTGAAATCACCCTTGACTGCTGGGCAGGTTTACCAAAAAATGCATTTGTGTTCCTTTAACATCAGAATTTCCTCAAAAACAAATTCACAAAGGTGAAAAAGCAACATTAAAATGAGGTCATTCAATTTTCTCAAACTGGTGAAAGGTCATACTCCAATAAATTCCAACTTATTTAGGATTTCTGTTTTTGTGCCAACAACACAGTTCTACTTTTAAAATGTAATATTTTTAGATGCAAAAGAAAATATATTGGTTTGCATTTTAAAAAGTCAATAATTAAAAAGTACAACAACAAAACAATATCAAACACACAATTCTGAAAATATATTGCATGTGGGACTAGGAAGCCATTCAGTGCCATTGTTGGCTGCAGTATTTATCATCAACAGCCAATTTAAACCTAAAGGGTTAAATCAAAATGACACAGTAATAGGGAGGTATCTATGTAAAACCTGAAAGCATAAATAATGTTCACCTTTCAAATGAAAGAGAGTAATTACCACAAGAACGAAAAACAGGGAAACCAGGCACCTTATACCCTAAATTTGTACATTGTTGAACTATTTTTAATCTTCTAACAGTATAATACTATTAACACATATGCTGAAAACCTTATGCTAATTCTAACAGCACACTTTGCATTTAGAACCAAACACTTGTGCATATTGTTTATAGGTAATCTTGTCACCAGAATTGTGATTTCTAAGCTAGTCAACACAACAGATATACAATTAACAAACCAGAGGGCAAAAGGACAAGACACCATCACTGAGATTCTCAACACCTACTATTAAGTATTGCTCTACTTGAAATATCCACATTATTGGAATTGATTTTGAAAGATAGATGGAAGAATGAAGCTGAAGTGACGCAAATCCTGGTTTCTTCTATTAAAAGTTGAAATTGTATGCAATTTCATAGGAATGTTTCCCTACTAAGGATACAAATGCCATTAATAAATATGAATTGTGCTTATATCTAACTGCCGCAGCCAAAAGCTTCAGCACACAACAGGACCCGTCCTATACTAAGAATGTAGTCTGCTTCACTTTATTATCCAGTACCTCAGACACCCCATTATAAAACTGGCAAAATCCCAATAGTATTAAGTTTATACAATATGAAAGGAAACCATAAGATATTAATATAACACTTCCACCCTAAAATCAGGAGTCAAAGTGCTGCCTGTATGTGTTTCTTTTTAGTATTTTCTGGGTCTACTCATAAAGTGTTATTGTGCCAATAATAAATATATGTACTAATCAGGACAGAATTTAAAATGTATACAATGTACTAGTACTTCAAGTTAATTTTTGTGATGTACTCTGACAATGTGTACATTATTATCCTGATTGAACTAAAACAATTTACCAGCACATCAAGAATGTATGCGCACAGGACAGATTACCTTTGTTTCCAAGAAAATGTTTAGTTTATACACAGCACATTCTTAAATAACATGATATACATGACTTTCTGAAGACATATATCTACAAACAACTGCTGTTGCATCTCGCTATACAGATGCAATGAATGAACGGCAATGAATAACTGTACAGCCAGTGAGAAGGGAACTTCTTTGCTTCTTAGTAAGCAGACTAACGATTCTAGGTGCTTTGGCAAAAAAAGATGTTTGAGGCAACATTGGTTGTTAAGGCTCTATTGTAGCTGTGCTTGCTTAGTATTTACTGATAGACACTGTGTTCTGTACAAACATTGAGAAGGAAAAAAAGAGGCTATCTGGAATCTTCTGGTTCAGATTTTATGTTTTTTTTCTCTGAGAGGTTCAGTACTCGCTGGGAGAAATCTGTGATGCCACCATTTTCTGTGGAAAACAAGAATAATAAATGTCAACAGTAGGTAACTTTAAAACTATTCTTTTATAAATTACCATGTACAGTACCTGGTAAAAATATTTACCCCTTTGTTGTATTACAAATTATGTATCCACTTGTGAAAGTGAATATTTTTAATCAAAACAGGAAAGCTCCAGCTAAAGACGATTATGGGTAAATGTCAAAAAACAACAAAGAAATCAAAAGCAAAATGTTGATATTCCCTAGCTGGTAGAAGTACCTTTGGCAGCAATTATAGTTATAAACACTGTAACTGGAAGTGATTTATCATCGTTGAACACACATGTCTATTTGCAGGGGGACAATGGTTAAAAAAACAGGAGAGGATAGCATTGAAAGGTGATAGGAAAGATAATTATTAGATTAATAATTCCTTGATAAACAGTGCAAAAGCAGGTCACTGATGAGAATGTTATTGATAAAAATATTATATCACATATTTTTCACATTCTATTACAAACAATTAAATGGACATTACAACTAATTTGTTACTGCAAGAGGCTGTTTTGAGGCTTTAGCAGGTTAAATACAATTGGAAAGAGTTCTTCAAAAGGGATTCACTGCTGAAATCCCCACCTTAGTAAAAACCAATGACAATTCAGAGACCATATACTGAATATATCATATATTGAACGTGAACACTCCCTAAAAAACACAAACAATAAATGAGTATGGCAGGGATCTGACAAACCCTCAAAGTCATAGTTCATGCTTTGGCAGTTTTCAAAGTTTCTGAGAAGGTACACACAAATTAGCCAAATTTGCCAAACACAAATAAATCCTTCATTTTTGTAATGATGCAGTTTTTAACACTTTCAGCCTTTCTATCAAGCAAATATAAACTGAATTTAAAGGGGAAATTAAGACACTCCAAAACTCACTTAAAGGCTTCCATAAACTTCCAAACAATTCATAGATGTTTTATTTAGACCAAGTAATTGTGCAGTATAACAGAAACAGCAACATGAAATGTAATGAAATAATGTTAGATTTAATTGGCCAACCCTTTTTTTGCAAATGAGTTTGTGGTATGTGACAAGTGAACAAAACGGTAGTCAGTCAGCAATCCTGGGTTAAGCAGAAATCTTTTCTTCCAAGTATGGGAAAATCTAGGTGGGAGTATAAAGGAGTGTTGTAACCAGTGAGGTGCATGTCTGAAATAGATTTTCAGCATTGACAAAACTGGTCTAATTTAAATTCAGTGGGTGCAAAGATTCCCAAGACAGTGGATGTCAAAATGTTAAAAATATGAAAATGATCACGTTTCTACTCCTTTGCAGGACGAATAAAAAAAAAACCAATTACTAGAGGCATCCACTGTTTGGAAGCCTTGCTATCAAATTTAGTCTTTGTAAGCTGAAAACAAACCCACCTGAAGACTGTATCTTTCCCTCGCCTGTAGAATGAAACCTTTTTAATTCACTTGACAGATGCTTGCCCAAGACTGATTCCCCTTCTGAAGCCATCTGTGACTGCATCACATGCCTTTGCTGACTAGGGACCCTCAGGTTTAATGGTTTTTCAGCTGAAGAATAAAAAAAAGAATGCTTGATTCATTTACAGTAAATGTTAATTTAGTTTTCTGCAAAGGTTATTGTTATAAAGAAAATTCCAATGGTAACTGAAATGCCTTTCTGTCACAAGCTTACCAACTAATGTTGAAAGATTATACTGTAGATCCAACCACCTAGAACATGTGTTAAAACCAACGTCAGTGGAAAGCTAACTGTGGTATTCTGCAGTCTGTTCCAGCATACCGAATTTAGTCCTTCATTGCTCAGAATTTGATGGATCAATTAAGTGTGAGAAAATTTGATACAAATTTATAAAATTGAAATGGGTATAGAGTCAGCCCCAGTGGACTATTTTTTGATTCAGCTATAAAGGATGGACACATGGTTATGAGTGGAAGCTGAAAGTGAATTTACTTAGAACAAAGAGCAGAAAATAATTTTATAATACAAAGAGTTGCAAGTATCTGGAATATGTTTCCTAATCAGGTTGTTGAGGTGCTTAATCTGAATGGATGGCTGAATACAATTTTAGATTGCTATTGCTATTTTATATTTAGTTTACTAAACTCCCAAATGTGTAAGACAGGCTGAATTAATTTTTAATAATCAATTTCTTGTGCTTAACTCATAATTGATGTGCCATATATTTTGCATTCTAAGTTTCCTGAGCCATCAAACTGCCTAATGACAATACCAACAAAGAAAGACACTCACTAAGGCAGGTAGATGAAAAGGAAACACAGGACCTTCACTTTTGTTGCAGAAGACTTATGTAATGTAGACACCTAAGAATAATGTGGTGGGAGGTGTAAATAGAAGTACTGTATAGCAGCTGTACAGAAAGTGAAAGACCTAAACTGTTTTTTGCAGAAACATTCATAATAAAATGCAGTGGATGCTTTACACTTAGCAGCATATGCACTGCTTAGTAACTTATAGGAGATGAAAAGTAAGGCACAGACAGAAATTCACTAAATGATGTATTTCTATTGTTATTAACACATACTGTAAAGCAATAGAGGATACTAACATGTATTACCTCTTGTTAAAATTAAACTTTGAATTAATTTATCAGGTTAAATAACAGTTAAGGTTAAATAATTCCTAACTATATAATTTAAATAAATATTAAAACATATTAAATTCCCATTCAAAATATCTTTGCAAACTATGTACTGTAACTGACATAAATAATGGCCTTGCAAAAACAAACACCTGATATTCAAACTCATCTAATGAAAAAAATATAGTATGCATGTGACATTTTTTTTATTGTCTTTTATTTTAGCTCCGTTTATTCCACTGATTAAAGTTGTTGTTTCTTAAATTCTAAGGTTGATTATTCTGACAGTAGCAGAGTAGTGCTAAGCAATTAATCAAATCCCACCCAATTTTTAAAGCATGAGATTCTGAAACCAGTAATTACATCTCAGGAACAGTTTCACTAGTGTTTCCTTTCTCTTTGAAATGAAAAATATTCAGCAAATTCATTCAAAATACAAATAAACATATGCACACATTGTACTGTATTTTAATAAAGTATGAACATAATTTAAAGTTAAATTACTAATCACAGTGCTGCAAGATATCATGTAGGACATTTCCTTTCCCCACCTTCTGCCTTTACACCTACAAAAGGCTTTCAGTCATCAAGCACAAAGGAAAACGAAAGTGAAACTATACAGGAATAAAAAAACTGACTTTCAACAACATTTGACAGCAGCCCCCACACCAATAGTTTCAGACGCAATCTTCTGATATTCAGAAGAGAACCACTTCATGTTTAAAAGGTTTGGCATCACCTTGTTATTAAACTGTTTATTAAACTTTTTGTAATCCTCATCAAGATGGAAAGACAAATAATGAGTTAATTTTGTTAGAATGTTTTAGACACTACTGCCTACCTATATACAAATCAACAAAAAGAGAAAAAAAGATTAATTAAGATCTGTAGGGACTGATTTTGGTCTTCTACTGTCAGGCTTCTCTATTTCAGTTTCAATATCTATCTATAAATGTAGAGAGCACTAGGTTCATCCTATCTTAATTGTCTCAAACTATTGAGTAAAATAATACCACATTCCAGTGCTTTAACCCATTTTCTTTTTACTCCGACTAAAGAAAAGCAGGCACCTAAAGAAAACTCAGATGTTATTTCTTTTGATCAAAGATCATGCATGTTTATCTCCCTTTCTAACATAACAGTCTCTTTAAATAGAAATGGAAAACATGTTATAAATTCCTTTCCTCAGACAATTCACTAATAAGATTGAAAATTAACTGTCACTTATATACAAGAATCAGTGTGGTACTAAGTTTTTCTTTCATAACACAAGATTTTTTATGAAGCTCTTCAGCTTTTAGGACAGTTTTATCAATTCTAGATGACGTATGATTAGGAACATACCTTGTCGATCATTGATTTTTTCAGAGG